AAACTGGTAAAAGGTGTTTAGAAGCCTGAGGATACAGGCAAGTATCTAACGGAATTCTCAGAAGCATATTGGTGCCTTACTCCCATTAGATGTCTTCCTCCGCAGGACAAAGCCTTTTTCATAAGCCTAGCAGATAAGCTTGTGTGTATTTGCCCTTAAACCTTCATTTATCCCTGTGTAAACGTGCAACATAGATCAACATTTAAGAACAAAAACTAAGTTTCAAAGGGCAGTTACGAAACATTTTTTTAAAAATACCTAATTAAATGTTTTTGAGAAATATTTATAAAACATTTGAGATTCTGGCTAAAAATTAATACAAAAAAATTTGCAAATACTACCCATAGGAATTGTTATAGTCACATGAATGCAATTTTGTTATAGGTGAAAACAGGCATCACTGAGGCAGAGACCACTAGAGAGGTTTTCAGTGTGGAGTGAAATTTATGTTCTGTGCTGAGAGCCAGGAGCCAGACACTACCAACAAATGTCTTCACTCTGCAAATACTTTACAAAGCACAGGAACCAAATATATTGCAGGTGAAATTCTCTATTGTGCAGGGGTCTTACACAGGTCTCTGTATTACATAAGTCCTACTTAAATACTATTTTAAAGTTGCACAAATCTACTGCACAGGCAAGAAATTTCCTTTGGAAGAATTCCTTGAACCCTTTGAAAAGGATGTACTTTGGTAGCATCTATCACAGTCTCTTAAGCAATACATAAATCTTGTGCTGGCCTCTGCACAGAGGTAGGCACACCTTGCAGAGTATCTCTCCTGATTTGTAGAAACGTTGTCACAAAATCCTATGGGGCTTCAGAGTTTGCATTATTCAGACTAGGTAGGCATTGCATATATACAAATCTCAAGACAGCCAGTAAACATGTTAATTACTGAAATGATCAAGAGAATAGGGACATAAGTATTTTACATTTTAGCTGTTCACAACTTCTGAAACACTGAAATTGTTGAGCATTGTTACTGACTTTGGTGAGGCCAATATCTCAACCCATCTTTTCAACTAATAGTTACTTGTCATCACTAGCCTGTCTTCTAGCCCAATCTCTACCTCAGGCTCCATTAGTGAGATTTCTCAGTGTCAGACTTTTCTCAAAACCCTCTCCCATTCTGAGGAAAAAGCTCAGAACAATGAGAATCACCTACCAAGCATCCTCACCTGGCTCACAACTGTGGTACAGGATTCCAGGGCACATATCCTCAAAAGAAATTAGGTGCCAAGTACCCAAAACGCTACTTACACCCCAACAAAGCTCCTCTGCAATAGCATTCAGCTGTCCCCCATGCCAGTGCCCAAGTTCCTGACACCTTGGTCACATGCACCCAAGCATCCCCACCACCTCACGGCAATGAGCTGCCAAGATCTGCAGATGATGCCAAAGACCAAGAATATCAAAGTAGGATTCTCCAGTAAGGTGATCCTGATCCGGGAATGCACCTAGTGGGTCCAATTCACCGGACCCAGTCCATTGGTCATTCTTGAATGGTACCTAAATTGAAAAAAATTAAAGTTGGAATACAGGATCCTCAGTCACCAACAACAAAGCCGTGTACTCCACCAGTTACTTCCTAGGCCATGATTATTTAATAAAACTCCAACAGGAGAAAATGAAAGAGCTCTGTACTGTAACTGACAATAACTTTGCAGTGGGGTTGCCCAAATCTGGAGATGGTTCATGTCTTTGATCTAAATCAGAAAATCAGGGAAATAGTCTTGGCTGTCTCATTTTCTAGGGAAAGCTCTAATCAGTCTGCTGCTAAATCTAATGAGGGACATGAATGCTCTTGTGCTTACACTTCACTTACACTCTCTCCCTTTACTCCTCCTTCTTGGGGAAAAGCAGACTTAAATACTTAAGTAAAAAAAAAAGGCAGGGAAAGATATTTACTTTCCTGGGAGTAATCACTTCTTTCCTCTGAGATGCTTATATAGCATGCACGTCCTCTGGGTTCTTTGTACATCCTTTCTGTTGCCCCTAGTGTTGCCCCCCTTACATTGTGCAGTGGGCAATTTTTTCAGGGTTCAGGATCCTTCCCTGTGGCAAAGCCCCAAGAAATTCTGCTTGGCTACCCCTAATTTGCTCACCTTGCAACAAAGGCTGCCTCACACTTTTTTTTCTGAACCTTTCGTATCCCTAGCGTAGCTGTTCTGAAGAACTAGTTAGCACAGATCTCTCCACCTGTCCTTCCATAGCTCTTTTCCTCCTCCCCTTCCAATCGCACATTCATCTCCTGGTTCATGCTTCCTGGAGCCATCTTTAACTGGCATCAGCCTTCACCTCCCAGATTCCCAATCCCATGAATGCTGGATTTGCTTTCTCTCCATGGGAGATGTGACCTGCTCCTGGTACAGCTTAACACAGCAGCTCCACCACGCTCCACCAGAAATGTCTCCCTTTGTAGCAAGGGTTTCTCTTGCCTAACTTTACCCTTACCATAAAGAGAATAGACTGCAATCCATCTGACTTATTTTAGATTTGTGATTCAGAATGAGATGATGTGCTCCCTAAAACATCTTTTTCTCACTGTGGACTATGATGGGAAACTAGCTCAGTTATATGTTGCTTCAGTCTAGATGTCTACATTTTGTTGAACAAAATTAGAGAGCTAGTGCTCAGGTTACACATATGATGACAAATGGATTTATGCTGAACCAGTGGTTGAACACTGAATGAATTCCGAAGTCCATGGATTACTTCCAAGCAGTCTGTGACAGGTCTGAAAGAAAAGCAAGTTCTTAAATGTTATATAGCAATATACTTCTGTAACACCTCTACGAGAAAGCACAGACAGAAAACATTGAAATCTACTGCTCTGGATGTTTTTTGATAATGGTGTCGTACTGTTTACTCTTAACAAAAGATCATACATCAGAGTGTAAGAATAGGCCCTGACCATGAACATCCTATAGCCATCCTGTACCACATATTATAAATCTGCTTCCTAATCTGGCACTGCAAGTGTTTAATTTCCAAGGCATTCAGAGGATTCTTTGCTATATTAGACCATCAAAGTGCCTGGTCTTGCTGGCTTAGTAGCCACTTCTTTGTCCTTTGCATTTTAACATTAAGAATGACTTTAAAAGTCATTGTTTATGTCACTGTGGGTACATATATTTAACGACTGGAGAGGTGCACATATTTAAGCTGGAGAGGTCTGCTTAGCTTAGCTGATTGTGACATGAAAAGTGCAGCTTGAAGTAGTACCTTTAATAACCACCCAAAACGCCAATTTTTAAAAGTGAAACTAACCCCAAAGATGAGCACCAACACAAAGTCATCATAATTACATTCACAGAAAAAAAAGAAAAAATTGTGTTACACCTGAGGTCCAGGTGATTTTTCTGCTCAAGAATAAATTTCATCTGATGCAAGTCACATGCTTGAAGTGGTGCGATTTGGGTTTTCAATAACTGTATTTTCTAGCGGCTGCAGGCCTTTGGGCTTGATCGGGCTGCTACTGAAGCTAACTTTGTGGTTTGGCCACCAATCCCAGCGGCTTTTAGAAAGAGCCAAAAAAAGGACCCCAACTTTTGACACCAGCCTTAAAATACGCCTGTAGCCTACGAACGGTCTCAAAGATGTGGCACACATTATGAATCAACCCCATAAATCCATCCCCCCCGAGGGATTTATTCTGACTCGAGCGGAAGCTCCCAGCGAAGAAGCTCCTCAGAACCCAATCTCCAGACCCAAACCAAGCTGCTCCTCAACCGCCCTCCAGTCAAAACGAACTGCTTTCGGGGCAAGCCTTTCTTTCGTGTCCCCGCTCCTCCCGGGGCAAACTTCCCCAAGAACTGAAGAGGCGGGAGGGAGGTGGCTCGTTCAAGCTTTATCAGAACCGTCGCCTCCTGGTTTTAGCGCGGTGGCACCCCGCCGGGGCCGGGGCCGGGGCCGGCGACAGGCCCCTGCGGCGACCCAGG